GAGAGAGAGAGAGAGAGAGAGAGAGAAAGAGAGAGAGAGAGAGAGAGAGAGATTTAAAAATTTGAAAATATTGACTACCATTAAATCTGAATCACAATTAATATAAATCATATAAAACTCACCACGATTAGAAAAATAAACAGATTCAACAGGTAAATCGTCCAGAATCTGTAGATATTTTGCATCTTTTGTATAACCTTGTATATAAATTACCGTCTGTTTCAAAGTATAATAGTTGCTTGCATCTTTATTTATGACACGAAAATCACTTTTATAATCAATGATAAACTCATTTAACATGTCATATATTGATACATTTTCGGCGTCCATGTTCAAATCAAAACTTTTAACACTATTAACAAATACAATGGACTGGATTGGTGTCGGTATACTCGCGTTTCGATAAATCAATAATGCATCTTCATAACGTTTAAATAAACTTGCATATCTATCTAACTTTTGAGCAGCCTTTGCCTTATCAACTAATACGGGAAAGCATACCGTAATGGCCGGCATATTAGGGAACCGTATTCTCTCCACATTTGACGTAACAATCGTACGATAACTCGTGTATTGTATGAACAGCTCCACTGTTTGGTACATAAAGCCAGCTAGGCACATTAATATTGATAATGCTTTAGTCCATCGACGTAAACGAGCGCGTACATTTTGATTATTAGTTTTAATTAACTTTATTTTGTTGTTTACTTGAATATAATTTAAGTTTGCGTTTATTGTAAATAATTGTTCTTGATGTTCACTATTCATAATATTAGAAATATATTTTGTATGACTAATAAAAATGTAGGATTAATTTCAAATGTTAAAATAATGTTGTTGCAAGCATTATGTTATTACAAATTAATCATTAAAAATAAGGCGTTTTTAGTATTAGTATAGTTATTTAATTATTATAATATTTATTGTGGTGAAATATATTTTTCATTTAATCTACTTTATTTAATATAGCATAAAATTATTTCAGTTTTGATTAAATCAATAAAAATAAGGTCTTTAATAAAACACATTAATATTGATAATACCTAAACCCCACGTTTAATACACTGCCAGACTTAAAGGTTATTTGTTTTTACCAAGAGTATATTAAAGTTGTTTATTTGAATATTAAAGTTATTATTATTTATTGTAAATAAATCATCCTGATATTTTTATTAATTATTTTAAATATATCAATACTTTTATTATACTAAATATAAACACAAAATAAATGCTAAAACATTTGTACATAATATTATATTTTTAATACACCCGTTTAAAATTGGGTGATGGTTTGGGTTAATATCGATTATCCTGGTACAATTTATTCTATGATGTGTCTTATTTAGTATTTTTAAGTATTTTTTGACAATCACATAATTTTCGTATTTAATTTATTGCTAGTATAAATCAATAAAACGATGGAAACATTGTATTTATCTATAATTATCTTAAATAATAAGGCTTTCATAAAAATTAATTAATTAATTATATTCTTATTTATAAAAAAAATATTTCATAATAATCCCCTATTAATTAAAATACCTAAATACCTTGTTATGAACATATTGGTTTTTACAATATTGTATTATATTGCCAATTCTTATACAATTATATTTTTATTATAACTCACAAATAGGTTTAATAGCTATACTTACTTGTAATAACTTATAGTAAAAAGATATATTATTTAACCAAATGTGCTGTATATTAAGAGTTTAATATTTTTTTATTAATATAATTTAATTATTATAATCAATAATATTAAATAAATATTAAATAAATTCAATGAAATAGTTGCCGACAAACATAGCGCTAAAGCCTAACCACATGCCTATAAGACCCCCTAAATTGGACACAAACGATATGAACGTAATCTCCGGTACGTGTACTATAAGTTG